CGATTCCATAGGAAATTCAGCCAATCAGCAGAAAACAGGAAAGCTGTTGAATACTCAAAGATGTTACACTTGACCTTCCCATTGCGCGCTGCGTTGTGTTGGCCACTGTACTTTGTATGGTATGATATAAAGTAGTTATGCAATACTTTCTCGTGGGATACCGTGGAATATTCCACTTACAACGTGTATTTTCTTAGTATGCACACTTGTCTTAAGGCTTGTGTGTAAACAGAGAAATTGACTCGCGGGATATTTCATGGTACACCACTCGAAAGTGTTGCATAACCAGTACATGTTTTACTGAATAGAAGTTTAAAAAAAATTATGCCATAGGTGAACTAGTTACAAGGAATCACATGCTTTACAAGGGATCGGGATACTTTTTAAATTGTTTTGTAAGAATCTTATTAACTACAACAAACAGTTCTTCGAGACTACCCTATCAGGATTCTTTTTCTTGTATAAAAGCAAGACCAAACAAATCTTTTGTTTTTCGCGAGCTTAGTGAAATAATTCCAACCAAGTTCAGTGTTTTTCCGACTGAGGAAATTTTGGGTTAGTGTCAAAAAACGGTTTCAAACTAAATGCATATCTTCTAAATTCAAAATCCAGAGCCAAAATATATCATCACAATACTAATTCTAATTAGTTATGGGAGTAGCTGTTACAATGTCTACACAGTTAGTCAGTACTGTCTCCTACACTCTCATTATGAAAAGGACCGTCCGTTTTCCTACACGACCAAATCTTCAACGTTTGCGTACAACTTCTTGTCATACATTTCCATGTTAATCAACCTCTGCGGAGAAGAAAATATACAAAGAAAACAATCACTTGGCGGCTTGCAAGGGTTCTTCGAACTTTTACCGTGCAAGTATTCAATAGCTCGTCACGGTAATTGTTTCTTATTTGCATCATGCATAATATAATGCACCTTGAATGAGAAGTACTTTTAGGCAATTTTGAAGTTTTTACCTTTTTACATCTCCGTTGAATTTCAGTATATTCCACAAAAAAAAAAAAATGTTGGTGAAAAGAACTATTTCCAGGTCTTACTATGAGCTCTGATCAATCCTTTCACTTGGTTTCTTAAGCGTGTTGTAAACAACAAATGCAAACGGCAGCTATCTGGGCTGGTTTACTATAGCTCCTGATAAACATCCCTATTGCTGTTATATAACTGAAATTAATTTTGACAATTGAAAATCAACCACACATAATTTTACCTTGTGTTGGTTTTCCATTTCTTTGAGTTCATTCCTCAATTCAGTAAATGTTGGTCTTTCATCTGGGTTTTCTTGCCAGCATTTCGTCATTATTCCATATCTGAAATATTGAATAAATTGAATAAATTGAATAAATTAACAAGTCATGATGTCACATCCGTTAGGAGCTTGGTGGCCTAATGCTGATTATTAGTGGTCTGTGTTCGAGCCATGGCTACGGCCCATAAGGTTTTTTGTATTGTTGAAATTTTGGACCAAAGGGAAAAGATGCCGGGTGGATAAACCTAAATGTATTAGCATCTCTTTCAGGCGAACGGGGAACAGGCAAAGAGAGAAGGAGGCAGAGAAGAGTGGTGCTGATGCCCCAGTTAGGCTTCTTGGTGAACTAGAAAATTCAGGATAATAATTTCTTGATACTANCACGTAATTTACGTGTATGGAGGGAAAGCCATCTAACTGATTCCTTCTCAATTGCTAAGCTCTAACCAATAACAACAGACGTGTCGGGCAATAAGGTCGATAATCAAAACAGTCACTTGGTTTGCAAGGGCGTCTTGGAACTTTTACCGTGCAAGTATCCAATAGGTTGTTTTGATAATTGCTTATTATTTGCATCATGCATAATATAATCCAACTTGAATGAGAGGTACTTTTGGGCAATGTTGTTTTTACCCGAAATGCCTCGCATCACCGTTGAATTTCTGCATATTCCAAAAAATAAAATTATCGTGAAAAGAACTATTAAAAGGTCTTACTACAAGTTCTGATCAATCCTTTCCCTTGATTTCTTGCGCGTGTCGTAATCCACTATACCGATGTGATTATTGTGGTTATGGTACGTACGTTTTAACAGTTATTGCAAACGACAGCCCTCTGGGCTGATTCACTGTAACTCCTGATAAACATCTCTAGTGCTAGCTGTTTTATGACTGAAATTAATTTTGACAATTGAAAATCAATCTGCCATGACCTTACCTTGTGTTGGTTTTCCATTTCTTTGAGTTCATTCCTCAGTTCAGTAAATGTTGGTCTTTTATCCGGGTTTTCTTGCCAACAGTTCGTCATTATTCCATATCTAAAATTGAATAAATTAAGAAGTCATGATGTTACATCTGTTAGGAGGCGTGGTGGCCTAATGCTGATTATTAGTTGTCTGTGTTCGAGCCATGGCTACGGCCCTGAAGGTTTTTTGTATTGTTGAAATTTTGGACCAAGGAGAAAAACTTCTTGGGTGGATAAACTTAAATGGAATAGCATCTCTTTCAGGGGAANTGTTCGAGCCATGGCTACGGCCCTGAAGGTTTTTTGTATTGTTGAAATTTTGGACCAAGGAGAAAAACTTCTTGGGTGGATAAACTTAAATGGAATAGCATCTCTTTCAAGGGAACGGGGAAGAGGCAAAGAAGGAAGTGTGCGGGGGTAGGTGGTGCTGACGTTTTAGTTAGGTTTCTTGATAATTCAGGATAATAATTTCTTGATACTAGTATTCATTTAGCATCTGATGTCATCTCTTTTCCTCGCCGGCAGGCGCCTAAGGACTAATTCTATTAAATGGTAGAACTCAAGCAACTACTGCAACTAGTTTCATGTTCAACAATAATGTTGACATAAAAGGTAAAAATAAGAGCTGNTCCTCGCCGGCAGGCGCCTAAGGACTAATTCTATTAAATGGTAGAACTCAAGCAACTACTGCAACTAGTTTCATGTTCAACAATAATGTTGACATAAAAGGTAAAAATAAGAGCTGATTACAATTTTTTATCCACGTGTTGTGGCTTCGACATTCTGTGTCCTTGCTGTAGCCAGTGTACAATTTTTCTGCCATCCATCCGTGGATATGGTGAGCCACCTGGAAGAGAACATTTTATAGAAGACATCAAGACCACGATTCCTTCCAAAAGAAACACAATCTCAAAATTGTAAACATTTCTGCAGCAGTTTAGGTAAAATGATTAGTATTAAAAAAATCATTAAGCATCTTTTCCTAATGAGAGGCAATTCGAGGAAAACAAAACAAACATTAGAGACGAATATTGAAAACAGGATATAAAAAACTGTGAATGCTATTTGAGAGGAGCAGACCAGTTAGCTATCTTACAAACCTGGTCGAAGAGTTCACCTCGGGTCTGTGGTAAAGAAACTTCAGCTAGGGTTAGACAGGAACTTGAACCCGGACGCTCTAGTTTCCAAGCGTAAAAGCCCAACAGAGCTAC